ACAACAACTTTGGAGAAGTTTCACAACGCAAAGATGACTGGACAGTCATGGGCAACGCAGCACTACCATTTCAATGGAAAGGAACAACAAGGTTCACCGTGAAGAAAGACTACGAGTACATCCAGGAGAACCACGATGAAGAACAACAACACGAGCATCATGAAGCACACAGAGCAAGAGGACTACGACAACCTCAGCAGCCCACTCCACAACAAATAGCAGAACACAACTTGACACACCTACCATACAGAAATTGGTGTCCAATTTGCGTTCAAGGCAAAGGACGCCAGGACAACTACAAGAAACAACAATCACGACAACCCATCATCCAAGTGGATTTTGCCTACATCAAATCACAACAAGATCCGAAGACCATACCAGTCTTAACGGCAGTTGATGTTACTACACAACTGTGCATGGCGGTATTGGTTCCGGACAAACCATCAATGATGGACTACATGATCAACAACCTACAAGCATTCATCTTTGAATGCGGAAGAACACACGGCATACTACAAAGCGACAACGAAGACACACTCAATGCACTACTACAAGCAACAGCATCTAAAGTCGGCTCAATGACTGTACGACATTCACCATCCTACAGCAGCAACAGTCAAGGAAGCGTTGAGCGACTACATAGAACACTTCTCGGACAAATCCGCGTCGTCAAAGCTCAGGTTGAAAGCAACTACAGCATGACGATGTCCACAAAGCACTGTCTACTACCCTGGATAGTACGACACGCAGCATGGACGGTAAATCGCTACGTCATTCACTCAGACGGCTACACAAGCTTCGAACGCCGCTGGGGAAGAAACTACGAGCGAGCAATCTGCGAATTTGGCGAGACACTACTCTACCTTCCACCACAACACAAGAAACTTCCGAAAGCAGACCTACGGATGCAGAAATGCATCTGGCTCGGAAAAGTTTCCGAAACCGGAGAAAACTACGTCGCAACGGAATCAGGCGTACAAAAGGTACGAACAGTACGGAGACTACAACCGGACTTCAAATACGACCTCGCACTGTTGAACAAAGTCTCCGGCACACCATGGGCACCACGACGGAACACCTACAACCCATCGTTCGCAACACTGTTGGATACGCAACTACAACCGTCAGAGAAAAGAAGGTCCACGCAAGACTTCGGACAACAAACGAATGCGACGGACGACATCGTTGCAGAACCCGCAACAAAACAACAACGCACTACACCACCTCCACGACTTCCGTCCACATCGACGTCAAGTTCACGACCACTACCGGATAGTCCTATGGCTACTTCACCAACTGGACGACAACATCCACCACTACCAGCACCACCTCGACAAACACTACGACGTTTAACTCCGGAAGAAGTAATGCAACCAACTAAAGCACAGAAGACCTCAAAGGACACTACAATCAGATCAACGGAACAAGCAACCAAAGAACCACCACCACTACGACAGAAAATCAACGCAGTGACACTTCCCAACGGAAAATCCATCACTCCCTACACAAACGACGACACCTCAGAAGACCAACCCATAATCTTCGACAACGAAGGTTACGACGAAACACAACTACTGGAAGGAATGAAACACGAGTCAAACCAAATGAAACTACACGACGTCTACGACGAAGTAGATGCGTCTACCGTCAACGACAACGTCATCAGAGAAGCGATACCTACAAGATGGGTACACAGAAAGAAAGGACCAGGAGTACGAAGCCGAATCGTCGCAAAAGGCTACACCGAGAAGATCGAGGACGAAGACTCCGTCTACGCCTCTACACCAATGTTCACGACACTCCGGACACTTCTCGCACTACAAATGTCACGACCAAACTGGATCGCGCGACTAGGTGACGTCTCTACAGCATTTCTACACGCACCCATCGCAAAAGACCACGACGGTAAACAACGTGACGTCTACCTTTGGCCACCTAAAGAACTTTGTCCACAACAGGACAAAATCTGGCGACTAAAGAAAGCCATGTATGGACTACGCAGTTCACCGAAAGCATGGCAGGACTACCTGGCTGAAGTTCTACAAAAGCTCAGCTTTGTAAGACTAAAGTCGGAACCCAACGTCTACACCAATGCGACTCGCGACTGCTACATCATGGTCTACGTGGACGATCTACTAGTACTTGGAGACAAGACCGCAGTCGACTCCACTTTCGAGGCCGTCCAGAAGCAGGTACTACTCAAGCACATCGGCTACCTCGAACCTGGCAAACCACAACAATTTCTTGGAAGAAACATCGACCACTTCGGCAACTACTGCAATCTTGGACTAAAGGACTCCTACATCGACAACATGATCGAGGAGTCTGGAATGAACAACTGCAACTCAGTAAACACTCCAGGAATTGCACACTACAAACCAACAATAGAAGATGAAGCACTACTTGACCACGAACAACACAAAAGGTACAGAAGAATTGTTGGCAAACTTCAATGGTTAGCATACACACGACCAGACATTGCATACTCCACAAAAGAACTAGCACGAGACCTCACAGCACCTACAGAACTTTCACAAAAGAGAGTCAAACATCTACTACGCTACTTGCACGGCACCAAGCACTACAAATTCACCATAGAACCAACAACAACACTCAGAGCAAACACCAACAACATCCTGGATCTCGACGTTCATGTCGATGCCGACTGGGCAGGATGCCCTACTACCAGGAAATCAACTTCAGGTTTCAACATCATCTTTTCTAGGAACAACAGTTGCATTTGGCAGCAGAACACAAGCTACAATAGCACTCAGCTCAGCAGAGTCTGAACTCTACGCCATTTGCACAGGAGTTAATGAGGGACTACACCTCAGAAACTTCCTACTTGAAACCAACATTTGCAGCAAGCTAAACCTACGCATCCACACAGACTCCACAGCAGGCAAGAGCATTGCTACACGACAAGGCACTAGCAAACGAGCAAAACACATCGACCTCAAATTCCTCTACACACAAGACCTCATCAAGCACGACATCATCAGAATCCTTAAGATCAACACACTCCACAACAGCGCAGATTTGTTTACCAAATACATCAGCAAAGAAACACTACACAGGCTCATCCAGAGCATTGGAATACGCATCTAGCACTACGAACGACCAGCGCAGCAGTTTCACAACAACAACAACGACTTTGGACATTTCATGTATGTAAGTAGCTACATGTAACACGACACTTTTGGTATGTAAGTAACAGTAACTACATGTACTTTCACTTGCACTTTTGGCGGCTTGAGTCAACACTACAGTTGTTTGTTTTACATGTCTGCATTCGCCGACTGCCTGGTAGCAACTACTTAGGCTCATTTGTTTTGCCCCGTTTCACTACATTTTGCATTCCACTGCAGCCATGGCCGCTCCATCTACTGCAGATGCTACGATGGGAGACGCCACTACGCCCGACAGGGCGACTACACCTGAGGTGGCGGTCACTACAGACTCCAGTGACCATGGAACTCCACCACCTCAAACCTACAACGACTCCAACTACCACTTCAACCATTCTACACCCGGCAACACCGTCTACTACAACCCGACCACAGTGATGGACCAACTACACATCACTGAGCACCAGACAACCACTGCACCACCACTGCCCGACAACATTCCCTACACTCAATTTTTCACTGCATTTACACTTGAAGAGTATCAACTACTCTCACAACAACAAGCTACTCCACTGGCACAACTGGACTACACACGACCCATTCACTGCATCCCTGGAGATCTTCGGATGCCACACTACAATTCCACACTGCTCAGCATTTCACTACCTGAAGCAGCCAACGTCCACTACTACCACACAACTTCACTCCACACTACAACTGGCGACAACACCAACTACGTCATCATCCAACTCCAGATTGAACAACCACTACTCCTGAGGTACCTCACTTCAGGACAATTTCTACACTTCACAAGGGACTACATCTCCTACATGATGTCGGTACAACACAACTACTACCTCCCGACTACAACACTGCCACAGACCATCTTCAAGGTGAACTACAACATGACCACCTTCACTGACAACTACAGCCTCAGGAACAACTACGTTTGGAATTACCACATGCCACTACTTCTACCTGAACTACTCCATTACCTTTACAACCGAGACCAACTACAAGACTTCCAGCACAAAGCAATCACTACAATCCTCTGCAAAAGCATCCAATACTACGGATTCACACTACTCACAATGACCAACCTCACACAACACCACAAAGCACTACTACACCGCTTTCTACGGGACTACGACCAACACATGTCGTGTCCCGAGATTGATGATGAGCGACTACGGGGAGCTCCAAACTACATGACAACCTTTTTCACCACCAACTACTACGCGACCTTGGACAGTCGACTACAGATGGTCCAAGCCTACCGCACCCAGAAATGGGGACTACATTTTTGAGCTCCTGCTCTACTACAACGAGTGCCTGCCTTCACTACTTCCGTCCAGCGCCCTACATCGAGCTGGAACCTGAACAGCGTGAACTACTGAGCGCAGGTCACTACTTTTGCCAATACAGTAGAATTGATGAACAACAATGGTTTTCATCACTACTGTCAATCCATGTTTTGCACTTCAGTTGAAAAGGTACTACAAAGACCTTTTAACTGGGGGGCCGTGTCAAACTACATGCTTCACTTTGCACTCTTGTTGCATGTATGTTCACTACCGCAGGCCTTGAGCTTACTACTCCGCATGAGTCAAAAGGTTGGCAGCTGCAGACTACATTGGTTGACTGTTTGTTTGAACATTACAACACTTGCACTTGTAAGCAAAGTAACAACCGATTTTAACGAGAGAGAGAGAGAGAGAGAGAGAGAGAGAGAGAGAGAGAGGGAGAGGAGGGAGGGAGGGAGGGAGGGAGGGAGGGAGGGAGGGAGAGTTGAGAGAAAGAGCGAGATAAAAAGGAGGCACGCAGACGTTGACGGGCCAACCTTTATGTCATGCTTCACGCACGCTGTCCCAGGTGGAGACCATCGTCTCCGCAGTGAAAGAGGCCCGGAGGCTTATTCAGGCCAGGCGTGTGTTCAGTAATGTAGGGTCGCAGCGTGTTGTGAGCTGGAGGAAGTAGATTGCATGGAAGATTCTGCGATGCGCGCACATGCTCTTCGGCCGCATTGAAATGGAGGCTTGAGTCAAGAATGCTCCTGGGCAGTCGGGATATGGGGCTGTAAGGGTCTAGATTATATTTGCTCAGCTTTCAAGGCCAGGAAGCTCCGCGATGCGCTTGACGAGAAATTGGCCAGGCCATGCGGGAGTTGGTTGCTCCAAAATCCAGGAACGGCCCAATGCAATGTTTGTGCCTGGGGCCTTGCCAGGAAGTCTGAGGAAGCAAAGTTGCAGCTGCAGCTTGCCTTGGATGGGCGGCATGCTGCCAGTTGTGCTTTGCAGTTACGCGCGAAGATGATCAACAAATCCCAGCAGAACACCGCCAGGGAGGTGCCTTGGGTATGGAGAGGGGGATGTCGAATGTGTTCAAAACGGTTGATGCGTCAGCCAGCTGTCCAAGCTGTCCAGGCTGTCATTGAGTTTGCCCAGAAGAAGAAGCAAGCCTTTGCTACAATGAGCGTTTCCGAATTGGTCACCTGGATCATTGCTCACGACAGAACCTGGAGGCATTTGCCGCAGGAGTTCAAGATATCAAGCGAAGAGTACGAAGAGCTGCTGCAGGTCTTCCAATCGCGATTCGTTGCTGAATTCACCAAGGAGTTCGAAAGTCTTTTCGAAGCGCTGGACGAAAAGAGGTGGGGCGGGGCGCGAGAGCACCATCAGGACTTGAAAAATGCTGTCGACGTCATAGTGGATCTGGAGTTGCTGAAGTCTTTCCGAGCCTTCAAAAAGCTCCAGACCAAGTTGCAGGGCTCGGCGGGTCGTTCCCGGTGTATGCTGGCCAAGGACAATGTCAAAAAGGGCGAATTTGACGAAGCCATTTGTGTAGTGGTGACAAGCAATGGCGAGAAGGAAGAGGCGGGGAGCTGATGTTTGTTGAAGGCATTGAGATGGGCGGGTCTCCACCTTTTCTGCTTGTCCCCCAGCTTGTCAGCTTGAAGGTGGAGCTGCTGGACTTGATCAACGAACAGGTGGTGAAGAATTTGAGGCCCTCCACAGACCCTGCCGCCCTATATGAACGCATGACCTGTCTCGGCCGCTTCTTGGAGGCCGTAGGCGAAAATCCTCCAGACGAGTTGGCGGGCCTTGCCCGAGAGGCGAGTCAAGCGTACCACAAGGCTAGGCCGGAGGTGGAGCAGAATCTAGCCACTGAGTTCAGTCAGCGTTCTGGATTTGATGTAGCAATGCTAAGTTTGCGGAGTGTCCGAGTTTGGGCAACCTCTGGTTGAGGAATGTCGCTCTTGGGCTTCAGTTGTTGAAGAGAGCTTCAAACTTTTCAACCGGAGCGCCCAGGAAAGCCTTGGCTGCTGTGACTGAAGTGCTTGAGGCAGCCACAGCCATGGATCTCGGCGGTTTGGCTGCAGCATTGGCGAACTTCCAGCTGTTTGAAGGAGGTGTTGGCGTCACCGAATCACGGCACATCGATGTCGCGCAGGCAGGGGGGAAAGCGACAATGGGAGCAAAGTAGCCGCGCGGCGACGTATTCGTAGACTACTCGTGCCAAACCAGGCTCGTGACTTTATCAGGCTTGCGCGCCTTCGCAGTCCTAAGAAAAGTGGGCAATGGGTTGCCATTGCTAGTTGTTGGGGGGAGCGGGGGTGGCTCTGCGCTGTTGACATCTTGCCATTTCGTGTGCTCTGTTGTATGCAGCATAGCAAATGTTTTGCGGGCAGGTGTTTGAAACGCCGGCTTCCGCCCATGACCAAGCCATTGGCTGCGCACGCGCCTGACGCGAGGCCCAGCAAAAGTTTTGGCGGCAGATCAGAGGCAGTTGCGACAAAGTTGCTAGCAGCATCGATGTTGCCAACCTGGACGTGCACTCGTTGAGCCTGAGCCTGGAGCCCTTGAAAGGTTGGCTGGGCACTTTCGAAAAGCTGAGCCTTCGGAAGAAACAAGCTTTGCTGCAGCAAGACCCGCCAGATCTCCAGGCCAGAAGTTGCCTATTGAACCTGAAAGCTCGCTTCAGCTCATCCTCATTAAGCCCGCATGTCGTTCGGAGTAGCATACTACCACAAAAAAGGGTTGTGTAAGGAATAACGAAGCAAAATGAAGGGGGTCCTCATCAATATGACTAAAAGCTCTCAAAAACCAAAGGCGTATCTGAAAAACGGATTCAGACATATTCCTGTTTGGCAAATATGAAATTTGGCGGCGGCGATATTTGAAGTTGCCGCGCCTTCCACAATGCACCAGAATGTTCCAGAAGCATCCAACAACAGTTGGACGAAACGGCCTGACCGAAAGTCAGGCTTTCGGGGTGTTCCCGGCAGGCGAACAGAGTTTCAGTGTTGAGCTTAGTCGCGTCTCTGCGATTCTGGAAAGGGTTCAAGCGGTCTTAGCTTCTGTTTTCGGAGGGTTCTGGAAGATTCTGGAGGCTTGTTTAAATGAACCGGGCAATTTAGGCGGTTCGGCGGTGTGCACAGCACTGCAGTCGTTGTTCGGTTGTGCGCTGGACATCAAATGGTGCTGTAATTAATTTGTTTGGGTCCTGCACCTTCGCGCCAAACACTATCTTGGACATTTTATCCCCGAATCTCTGGACACTTGGGCCTGGAGTCTGGAGTAGGCGCGGAAGTACAGCGCTGGGTGAGCGGGTCAGGTTCCGAAGTGAGGTTTCAAGGTGTAACTGTTGTGAGTGTTTCGGAAAACGGGTTCCGGCTTCACCTTGGGTCTTGTTCAAACTACCTCTTCTGAATATGTTGCCGTTGGGTTACAACGTGAGCTTATTTGTTCCTTCTGATTTTGTCTCATCCTTTCTTGCGTGGCTCCATCTTCTTTCCATTGCGTCTGTGTTTTTGAGAGGCGTGGATGCGTGATGTTCTTGCAGAGCCTGTGCGGCGCGTGCTTGAGCCCACCACCGTGATGTCCTGTGTGGAGTCAAGACGGTTCACGGACATTAGTCGTCGCTGCAGCGCCGCCAAGAGGCTGCGAGAAGTCTTGCAGACTGAGCCTTTGGATCTGGCAGTTGTCGAGCAGCACTTCTTGCAGCGGAAGGCTTTTGCACGCCAAGCACTGGACGCCGCGAACTTTCAGCAGTTCAACTCTGAGGTGAAGGTCTGCAAGCTGGTTTCTGAGGAGTTGGCGGAAGTTCCAGTCGTGACAAAGATTCTGGCTGATTTGGAGAACGATTTGAGGGAACGATTCTTGAATCTGCATATGAACAAGCTTCGTTCGGCGCAGAACATTCCAGATGCAGCCACTGCCAGCCAAGAAGTGAGACAGGTCGCAAACTCGGCCCCAGACACTCACGCATGGGTGACGTCTTCCCTTGAGGAAGCCTTCGAGTCCCTGCAGAACAGTGCGACCTTCAATGTCAAAGGCCTCGCAGCCTTAGGCTTGAAACTGCTGCAAACCCCACTGGGGCGGATCATTGTGGCCGAACACCCGGCATTCTTCAATTCCGTAAAGGACATGCAGAGCAACGAGCTCTTCAGACGCGCTGGCGAGAGCCAGAATCTGGAAAGCGTGGTGGGCTGCTTGACCAGGGACTCAGGCCTCGATGGTGCCGAGTATCATGAGTTGGTCGCTGCTTTGCACAATCATGAAGTCCAGTTTGACGACTTGAAGAACAAGTACTTGTGCACAAATGGCGGTAGACCCATGGAGGATATCTTGAAAGAGGCGAAACATGACTTAGACTGGGCAGTGCAGTCTGTCAGTTCTCCTGATAGGAGGGATGAATGTGCCTTGAAGCTGGTTGCGCACATTTCAATTTGTTTCACTCTGGTCAAATCTGGCAGAAAGTACTTGGACGCCCCAGTATCTGAGCAGGAGCAGAAGTTGGTCATTCCCCACATGGCTCAAATTTTGACCCTCTTTCGTTTCTTGCAGTGCCACAGGACCTCCAACACCGATCAGTTGTGGAAGCGGGCTTTGCGCTGGGTTTGCAACAAGGTGTGCGGACCGCTTGAGGCTTCTCAGCAGCCGGAGAACCACCTGTCGCAGGTTCTGACAGGCGAAGGAAAGTGTCTGACTTTAGGTCTCTTGGCGTCGTTCTTGGCTCTGAATGGCTTGGAGTGTGACATTGTTTGCTACCGGAAGTTCCTCACCGAGCAAGACAGCCAGTTTATGGAGCCCTTCTACAAATTTCTGGGCGTGGAACGGAAGATCCGCTACCTGACTTTCGATGAGCTTTGCGAAGAGCGCTTGGCGCATATTCGAGAAGGCTCAAAGGAGTTGATATTTGCACCCAAAGGAATGACCGGCAATCGCAGGCGGAAACTAGGAGAAGCTGAGACTTGCAACTTTGCCTTTCCTTGCGCGACCCGGCACCCCTCTGCGTCGCAGGCAAGATCGCAAGCTTGCCAATCGGGTGTGCCTCATTGACGAGGTGGATGTCCTTTTCGCGGGACGATTCTTTGGCAACACTTGGGATGGCGGCTTCAAGCTCACCTCTCCAGAGGCATGGGCCCGGAATTGAACATTCGCGTTGCGCTTTCAAGTTTGCAATGGACTGAGAATTTGCGTCGCCATGTCGATGGTAGATATTGCATTTGCTTTTTTCTGTTCAGGCGTAGTGAAAACCACCACACGCACCATTGCTTTTTTTGCGTGGCCCAAGCGGGCATCAAACACAAATTTCTGGTCACGGAGGCAGCGGCCCTGGTGGAGTTTATTTTCGCCGAAGTGTCAGCTGGACATCCTATCAGGAACATCACTGCGACTCAGGCGTTCGAGGACTGTGGATCTGGATCCATTTGTGTAGGGTGGCTCATAGGTTTCAACCAGACTTGCTTTGACCCAACTGTCCCAGCCTGGCCCTTGCAAGGACCTCTTAAAGGCCTACCCGCAAGAAATGCACAGCATATTGACCGATTTGGCTGCAGTTCTTGTCCAGAATGTGGAGCACTGGTCAAAGCCAGAGCCAATTCTTGATGAGAAAAGCGGAAGAGTTGGGTACAAGGAGAAGGACGACATCAGCTACGATGTGTCCTACTCCAACAAGACCGTTTTTGCTTATTTGAACTTCCGGAAGGAGGGCAAAGTCACAACTGCGCAAGTTCGCGACCATGTTGGTATCGATTTGCTATGCGGCAGGTTTTCGTTTGCAGACCTTCCCAACAACTATCGATGCATTTTGGGCGTCACTGGCACCTTGAATGAGCTCCGAACCATTCCTGGCTTCGAGAAGCTTCTTCAGGACGAGTATGGCTTCAAGCATTTCACCGTTACCCCGTCCATTTTCGGGGCAGGACGGCTCATCTTCAACCCAGGAGAGCATGTGCAGGTTCCACAGTTCAGAAAAAAGTTTGAGAAACCCTGCTTTGTAGCGAATGCTTTCGGAGCCCTTGAGGTGCTGGATGAGGAGGAGGACTGGTGCCTGTGCATTGAAAGGCTGGTAGACGAGAATACCAGGAAAGGAGATTCGGTCCTGGTGTTTTTCAAGAACGAGGAAGCGATGAGAAAGTACCGAGGCGAGGCGTTGGCGCAAGGGGCTTGTGTGTGCCTAAAGCAAGAGGCCATGTTGTTAGCTAGGCTGGCCACACATAGGAGCTCGGAGCCCGTGTGTGTTTGGGCTGTGTTGCAGGTTGGGAAAACATGGAGTGCTTGACGGAGCGCACGGATCCCAAGCGCCGGAAGGGGTATATTGCAGCAGCTACGGCTGAAGGCAAGGTCACGTTGCTCACCAGGGCCTACGGCAGAGGAATTGATTTCCAAATGCCAGAGAAACATCGCCTGGTGGTGGTGCAGACGTACCTCTCAAGCTTGGTCAGTGAAGAGAAGCAGATTAAAGGCCGGACTGCGCGGCAAGGCAAATCAGGGCTCTTCCTTCAAGTCCTGTGCGCGCAACACTTGGAAGCCAAGATGGCCTTCAGCAAGGAGGACGTGAACAACTTGCACAATGTGAATGGGCAGCAGATTCAGACCATGTTGAAAGCAAAGCAATCTGCAAAGACCTCCGCAAAGGTGTTTGGCATGATTGAGCGGAGGAATAAAGCGCGACATCTTGAAGCGGAGACAAAGGAATGGGAACGGCTCTTGTTCGGAGATACAGAATCGAGCGAGAAGCTGAAAAAGTTGGCGTCGTTCAACCAGGTCATACAGCCCGCTCACTATTCCGTTCTGCTTGACATCTCTAGTTCAATGCGGGGAACCAATAAGGAGCAAATGGACATGGCCTTTGACAGATTCCGAGAGCAGCTGTGTCAGCAAGAACAAGAGGGGTCCAACACCATGGTGTCTGTGGTCCTCTTCAATCACGACACCCAGGCTTTTGTATTCAAACTCGATGGATGCAGGGAGAGGGGAGAGGGACTCTTTGCTGTTTGCTTCTCCCTGCAGGTGATTACCCCAACGCACGCAAAGGCATCCGAGTTGCAAGGTATCGCTCATCGTCAAGTGGGCGGACGGACCTGCTTCCGCAAAGCCTTTGCTGAATGCCGAGCTCTGATGAGTCGCCGCCCAAGAGCCCAGGACCGCCCACCCCAGATTTGCATAGGCTCACGACATGAGCTTGAGCGTAGGCGCGAGTGCTTCAGAGATTCTTGTTTGGACAACGTGGCTTGCGGCTATTCAAAGTTTGGCGTTTTAAGCTTCCCTATTTGATTAGAATCAAGCATGTTATTTTTGGTGGGTGGACAAAGGCTGACGTAGGTACATCGCGTCTCATGCTGGCTGCCTTTCAAGACTTGTCCCCCGCTGTCTTCACACTGACACATGTCTTGGTTGGCCGCTCCGCGGCCGACTTGTTTGCCTTGTTTCCGCACACTTTGGCACGGACTCAGCTAGTTATAAGTGAGGTTGGTACTAGGCAACAAATTGATCGCAACACAAAGTTGGCAACAGCTTTCACGCGTTGTGCAGGAGCTGATTTTGTTCCTGACTGATGGCGGCGCCGACGTCCCCGAGTCAGAGCTCACAGCTTTGTTGGCAGATCACGGCAGCAGGATCAAGTGCTTGACCTGTGTTGCCCTTGGTGCACAGGCAGACACGAGGGTTTTGAAGCAAATCGGCGCCAAGTTTCGGCAGCAGAACATCAACTTCCGGCTGCGAGACGCTAACAGCCAGGAGACCCTGGTCACGGCCTTCGAGGAAGCAGCCGGTGGTCGCGCAATCCATTGCAAATAGATCCACCAGAGCCTTTCCCCTTTTTGGCACTCTTGCAGAACCAAGTGCCACAACCTTCCTGCCAAGCGCCGGGCATGGGTTTGACATTTGTCTGTTCGAGCCGAAGCTGCAGTGACCAAGTGCATGCGGGACCCATACCTGGCCAGTTCTTCGGCAGGATTTTGGCGAGTCGCCAATAGCTAGGTTGCCTTCAATCCTTTCATCTGTCAGCTGTTGTTTAAACACCGTGATTACTTTTGTTGCGCAAACCAGGCGCAAGGCTTTCCCAGAATTCAGTCGCTTTGCAACTCGCCTTCCGAAAGGTGACTGTGAAGCCGTTTGCAATCCGCCTTCCAACAAGGTAATTGCGAACCAAAAAGCCTGCGCAAAAAGGCCGTGCAATTCGCCGAGCTGCATTGACCTAAATCATTCTGGCGCTGCAGTCCCCTTGCTTATTCTGGAGACCCTGCTACATTCGGAGCTCAGGCTGCTTGCTTACTGTGAAAACCTCTGCTGCATTCGGAGTCCCTCTGGCCTGGAGAGGCATGCCAACCAAACCGCATGTTACCTGCTCCTTCTGAGGGGAATGTGCGCCACTTGGCGCGTGATGGATCCGTACATCGGCAATCACTAGCAGCATGGGTCCACGCTTCTGTGGAAACCCTGCTACGTTTAGAGCTGCCTGCTTGCTCACTGTGGAAACCCGGCTGCTTGCTTGTTGTGGAGACCCTGCTACATTCGCAGCTCAGGCTGCTTGCTTACTGTGAAAACACTGCCACATTCGGAGCTGTTTGCTCCTTGCTAGGTTTGGAGCTGCCTGCTTGCGTATTCTGGAAAACTGCTAGGTTTGGAGCTGCCTTCTTGCGTATTTTGGAAACCCTGCTGCATTCGGAGCTCAAGCTGTTTGCTTATTGTGGAAACCTGCTCGATGAAACGCTGCCTGTTGTTTCTTGTGGAGACCCTGCTACATTCGGAAGCTTAAACTGCTTGCAGAAACCCTGCGGCATTCGCAACTACCTACTTTCTTTTTGAGGAAATTCTGAAAAATATCCGAAAAAGGAAATATGATTGCAATTTATATAAATATCAATCATTGAATAATAATTTATTAAGTTTGATGTATTTTGCTACATATATATATATATATTTATATTAATTGTATATAATTTTAAAATAAATTAAATTATATTAGGAATTATATTAATAGTTTAAAAAATATGTAATAATTTATATTTATAATTTGTTTAAAAAATAATATTTATATTTTAGATTAAGGTTATTGATTTAATAATTAAATTAAAATTATGTATATGTTATAAATATATATATTAATTTATAAAAGATATGTTAAATAATAATAATAATATATATTTGTTTATTATATATATATATAAATAGTATTTATTTATATTGAATTAAATTATTTATTAAAGAAAAATAATAAATAAAATTAATACAATATAAAATATATTTATTTATTTTTTATATTGCTTTAAATAAAAATTATAATTTATGAAATTATTTTATTATGTAAAAAAGGATTTAATATTATAAAATTGCCGATTTCCTCTCTTTAAAGAGGGAGGCATACGGGAGGGTGATTGTAATATAAGCATATGGATGAATTTTTGAAGCAAGCATATGATTATTGGTATTATACGATTGTTTATTATTTTTCGATATTATTATTTTCGTTATTATTATTTTTATTTGTTTGATCTACAAAAATCAAATGGATTTGATGATTATGATGATTGTTTCTTTTGGCTTTTGAAGATTGGAGCTTAAAATCCGTTTTGGCCCATTGTAGTTGTTACACAAAAGACTTATTTAGATAGGGGGTGTTATCTTAAAAAATGAGTTCCTTATTTTTTTCGGCATAAATTTGGTGATGCCGAGGATGCTAGGTTAGGCATTATTGGCGAAGGTTATTATTATCTCTTATTAGTCGGCGTTGGTGATGCCGAGGATGCTACGATAATAATTATCATCATAATCTTTATCTTTGTTATTATTATCATTAAGGTTATCATCATTTCTTATTAGTTAGTACTAATGATGCCGAGGATTATCGTCTTTTAGTAGTCGGCACTGGTGATACCGAGGATATTACGATATTAATTATCATCATAATTCTTAATATCATTATAATCATCACTATTTTTTATTAGGTAGCACTAATAATATAAAAGATGTTATCGTATCGGAATCATCCTTATAATATTATCGCTCTTCTCATCATCATCATAATCATCATCATTTCATTCTTATTTTTATATACATTTCAAAAATAACATTAGACCCCATTAGCAATACAGAAAATGCTACGACGATATTTATCATTGTAATCCTCATCCTTATTATTATTATCATTATAGTTATTATTATCTTTTATATGTCGGCATTGGTGATTCAAAAAGTATTACAATAATAATTATCATTATAATCATCCTTATTATAATGTTATCGTTCTTCTCATCATCATCATAATAATCATTATTGTTCTTATTCTTATTCTTATATATATTTCAAAAATAATATTAGACCCCATTAGCAATGCAAAAAATGCTATGACGATATTTAATTCATAATCCTCATCCTTAACACCATTATTATCATAACTATTATTATCTTTTATTAGCCGGCACTAGTAATGCCGAGAATATCATTATTATCTCTTATTAAGTAGTACTAGTAATACAAAGGGTGTTATGATGATGATTATAATCATAATAATCATCATTATCTCATTCTTGTTCTTATTCTTATATGTATTTCAAAAGCAATGTTAGATCCCATTAGCAATACAGAGTATACTACGACGATATTTATCATCATAGTCCTAATTACTATTATTTCTTTTTAGCCATCACTAGCAATACCGAAGATATCATCATCATCTTTTATTAAGCAACATTAGCAATGCAAAGGGTATTACAATAATAGTTATCATTATAATCATTATCATAATCATCCTTATTATAATTCTATATTTCATTCTTATGTATTTCACAAATAACATTAAATCCCATTAGTAATATAAAAGATACTACGATAATAATTATTATCGCAATCCTCATCCTTATCATCACTATCATTATGGTTATCATCATCTCTTGTTACTCGGCATTAATAATATCGAGGATGCTACGATAATATATATCATCACAGCCCTCATCTTTGTCATCGTAATCATCATGCTCATCATCGTCTCTTAATAACCGGCACTAGTGATGCCGAGGATGCTACAATGATAATTATCATCACAATCCTCATCCTTATCATCATTATCATCACGGTCATTATCATTTCTTATTAGGCAGCACTGGTAATGTTACGATGATAATTATCATCATAATCATCATCATCATAATCATCCTTATTATGATGTTATCGCTCTTATCATCATTATCATGATGCTCATCATCATCTCATTCTTGTTCAAGGGCTGCCGCCCAGTGCCGCCGACCTGGATTTAGTTATGGTTTTCAAGCAACCAAAAACACTGCCCTTGGTTTTGGTTTCTTTGGTTTCTTGCGAATGATGCATAATGATGATTATCATCAAGGCAGGACTCCAAATCTCAATAACCCAAATGGCATCTGAGGCGAGGTGCCGTTTCGACAGTGATGCATAGTCATGATTATGATCATCGCTGCTGGAGATGCTGGGGATGCATAGCGATGATTATCCTCATGATTGCCATAGATGCTGCGAATGATGCGTAATGATGATTTTCATCAAGGTAGGACTCCAAATCTCAATGACACAAATGGCATCTGAGGCGAGGTGGCGTTTCGATAGTGATGCATAGTTATGATTATCGCTAGGCACCCTTAGTAATACAGAGGATGCTACGATGATAGTGATCATGATAGGGATCATTTGTTGCCCAGCAAGTCACAGTCCCTGTTCGTGTCTTCAAAAATGCAAACAAAACCCTGAAATACAAGACTAGCCTTTTGGGGCCACTAACATTTCACCCAAAAGAAACCAAAGAAACCAAAACCAAGGGCACTGTTTTTTTGTGGCTCCAAAACCACAACTAAATCCAGGGGTCGGCGGCACTGGGCGGCCACCGGACGTGATCGGGCCGCAGGCCAAGCCCGCAGGGCTTACCTTCAGGTATAAGGCCGTGCGTCCCATGCCGCCGACCATGCGCAGAACATGCGCAGAACATGCGCATTCGTTTTATGCTGGGCCCTCCCTTCCTTATAAGGGGCAAAGGATTTGCGGATTCGTTTAAGAGATTTTTGTAGCATCTCCTCGCAGCGCCCAAAAACAAGTGCAAAACCGGGATGATGCGGATGATGCTGATGATGCTATGCATGCTGGCGATGCCAAACAAGGGGCTGAAGGGGAAATACAAGGAAACAGGAGTGACTGGAAGTGAACGACATGCAAGCCGAAGGAATTGCACGAAAATGAAGAGGGCACTGGAGAGAAACCGAGATGCAATAAAATGCAAGGAACAGCAAGAACGAAAAGGGAAAGGAATGCGAATAAAGGAGTCTGAAACGGCAGTGAAGTGGAAGGAAGTGAAGGGACATGCCAGGAAACTGCAGGGAAGGCAGGGAAAAGAGATGAAAGAACGGGAAGGGGTGCCGGTGGCCGGCTGTGTCGCGTTAGCGTGTAAATACATTTATAAATATTTATTCGGCGTATTTATATATAACAATATCTTAAGATTTGAGAAAATTGGTTTAGCTGTCTTTCGAAGATCTTATGATTTATATTTCGGATTGTTTACCGAAATTTGTCCGGGCTACTCCGGACATAATTCGGAAAATATTGAAATATTTCGGGAAATATTATTGTTGAAATATCCGGAATATTTCAGAAAAATAGTTTGGAAAATTAGCGAAATATTCGGGATATTTTGGAAAAAATAGTTCGGGCTTTGAGCGAAGCGGATGTGATTTTTAGATAAAGAATTTGGGTATATATTTGCCTGTTTATAGCCATTTTGGCTGAAATTTTGTACATTTTTTAGGAGTTTTGGTTTTGCTTGCGCTTAGGAG